GGGCTTTCTGTAGCTCGTTGGCAAGTTTGCGAACAGTTTTCCATTTTCAAAGAATGCTTTGATGGAATCTTGTTGCTCTTGAAAAATATTTTCTATTTTAAACTGATTCTTTATTTCTAAAAACGCTCTAGTCCGAAGATCCTCATCAAATGAAAACGCCATAATTTTGAAAACTAGGACGCCTTTTTTTTGATAGTGTTATAATGGAAGTTCACGTTAGAATGAGCATGGCTAACAGCCAATCAGAATCTATTATATATGATCGCGCAATTTGCGGGGTGTCAATAACAAGCATTCTGGCGATGTTTCGCAGACGGTATTTACGAAGGAAATTCCGGTTGTGACGCAGGCTACGTTCCTGGTTACTTTTAGTGATTCGAAGGAAGGGACGTCATACGCGCCACCCTTCAAAATTCGCGGCTTTTCACAATGTGTAATTGCAAACAAATTTCGACTATTTTTGATTTAAAAACAAGCCTTAAACCAAGTCATGCCTTCTTACAGAGAATACTGTAGAGTCCGTGTGGATAAAAAGGATGCCAGTTGCGCGTATGACGTCACACATATCAAAATGCAACGACAAAATCGCTGCTCATAGAAATGGCGGACGAGCTTTTAACAATTTTCGGAAGTAGAATTCAGACAGGAAAAGTTTCTTTTTCGAACCAATTTTTGCTTATTGGTTAACATTATAAACTATTTGAGCACATGGAAAATGGGGGATTTTTTTTGCGTCATTAATATTTTCGTAGGACTAGCACTATAAGGAGATTTAGCTTTAATGAATTTCCTATAAAAAAACTATTTTTAATTTTTAATAGAGGTCTGCAAGCCGAGAGGCTTAGTCATTGCTTTAGTAATCCAAGGCTTAGTCATTGCTTAATATCCCTGGTACTAAGCTGTTTTAAGGGTATGTGTTTATCAACAACATAGGAAATTTTTGAGTAAAATTGATCAAACAGTATATCAGTTTCTGAATACAATATAAATATAATATAAGTATATTATGCTTTTACGATTGTACATTTTCAAAAACAAAAAAGTGAATTTATCCTTGAATGTGTTCTCCATTTAAACATCTTGGACGATATGTTTGATTGTGGTTGTACCATTTTATGCATTTCTGTGGATCTTGATAGGACCTCACAAGACGCTATCTGGCTTCATTTGGAATTTGGTTTATTTGTTGAACCATTGCAACATCCAAAAAAGAGGGATTAAAAACTCAGAACTGACTTAATATCTATACCTAACGGCGCTTTGTTTGTACGAAATCATATTCACGGCTTGTAAAAAAAATAAAATGAAAGGACAGTTAAAATCCTAAAATTCCTAGTGGAAAATATACTTATATTGTATTGCGTAAATAAATGTCCAAAACGCTGTATTGTATGTGTGTTGTGGTTTATTGTCTGCACCAAAACGTTAATGAAAGTTCGAAATGAACCCACGCAAGCATATTCATGATTGTCAAATTCAATGCTAAATTTCTTAATGAACTTATTGTATGCCTGTTCGCTCTAATGACAATGCTTCTTCGCTTCAATGAATATTCCTCTGCGGTTAATGAACAGCACAAGGTGTAATACTAAATAGCACATTTGTATGCAAATTCCATTGTTTTCTATTGTTTAACTAACACTATTTTGTACTATTTAGTAATTAGTGTTTCACGGATTTACTGTGGTCACTCTAGCATAGCAAATTTATTGATTATAAGAAAATTAGGAAGATGATCCGTGAGATCACAAATTATGTTCCCACTAATTGTATGATGGGTTATTCAATTAAAGAAAATATTGTCAATCAGAGTAGCTGAGTGGTGCGTTATGCGAGTTGGTTGCAGTATGTGAGAACTGAAGAAATTAGTTTCTAAAATATTGAGAAAATTATCTGTAGAAGTATGGGATAAGTTCAATAGATCAATATTAAAGTCACCCATGATAATACAGTATTTATCTTCCTTAGCAATTAAATCAATAGTATGATTTAAGTAGTCGAGGAAAGTCTCATAATTATTGTTGGGGTGTCTGTAGATAACACCACAGACTAAATTATGGTGCAGTTCAGTTTCTAATTCTATCCATAGTGCTTCGAAATCTACATGAGAACAGCAAAATTCATCCCTTATAGGGGATGAGAGCTTTTTGGAAACAAAAATACCTGCACCACCAGCATTCGATAAGCTGTGCTGTGAGAAAAAATCATATCCACTGAGGTTGAAATTGTAAACTCCAGGGCCGGGCTGTTCAAAGCTGGATT